TTTTCTGTTTAAAATATTAATTTTTAAATAATAATAATAATATAATCATATTTAATTTTTTTTTCAGTTTTTAAGTTTCTTTTTAACTCAGATTTTTGTGGTTTCTCAATTGTGTGAAAATTATACTTGATAAAGCATAAAGAAAATACAAAATCAAGCTCCAAAATGTTGGATATTAATGAAATACTGAATTGTTTAGTATTAATGTTCTGTTAATATTTTTAAAAACAACAACTAACTAAATGTTATTAATGCCCTTACAACAGAAAGCGTATGTAATTATTATTCGTACGTCATTTGGTTTCAGATAAATAAAAGTTAGAATATTTGCTCTGAAAAGTATTATTTCATTACAAATACTTATTTCCATAACTATTATGATAAATATCCTGCAAGATAGTGTATAAAGGATCACTAATCGTGAAGAATTATTGTTCAAAGGAATTTTGACAAAATCCAAACTAGGAAGTTTCAGAAACTCCTTCTTCATTGTGTCTAAATTTTCATGCTGTCTGTTACTCTTTATCTCTTCGTGCGAACTGACAGGGCCTTCTTTTTATCGTTGTTATCAGAGGTTCGGCCAGACCCACGATGTATAAAACAGTACCAGAGACAGGAACAAACATGTTTAGAATGGAATACTCTGCGAAGAGTATCTGGTGTTTTCTGAGCCCGTCTGGATTCTATTTCGAATCCTCCAAAGCTACTGCTCTGAGAATAATCTCGATGAATCTTAGGATAAAGATTCGAGATAGAATGTCATCTCAGTCATTCATACTTTTCTTCGTCCGTAGAGGGACATCGTAAATTTAGCAGGTAACACAACAATCTCGATGTATGGACACGGAAGGATTCAATAATTAGTGTCGTATACTCGTGTATCTGAATATATTCTGTGAAAATAAATTTTGATCTTTTAGACTAACGTGTTTTATTTTCTTGTGGTTTATCTGGATTTATCTGGATATTTAGAAGAAAACTAGAATAAAATTAACACAACAAAAATATTACAAAATGGATTGTTTAAGTTACAAAGTCTTGTTGAAACATTGAGTTGGGTTAAAATATATTTTTATATGTTAAGATAAAAATTACTATTAATATAAAATCGAATTCTCATATAGCATTAAAAAATATTTATTATTTATAGAAATTTTCGGGGTGTGGTTTCCATCCCGAAAAATCTCGGTCCAAGTTCCTCACCACTCAATCGCCTCCATTGTGGAGCTGGCGGAACCCACAATAAGAAATTACCTGATAGGAAAAATTAAAAAAATCTATATATATAAATTCACCTCAAAGCAAGAAATGTTTTATTTTTAATGTATTCTACAAAATTGAATATTTATTACACTTATAAAAAAATATAAATGGAAATTTTAGGCAAAGATACAGGGTTGTCATAAGATAATTTAGGCATAGGGCAGAATATGCATTGTGACCCTATAGCAGATTAAATCATTATACTAAATAAAGTAAACTAAAAACATGTTGTATGAAAGGTTCTAATTCATCGGGTTCCAGAACATTTTGCACCGTTTTCTCCATCTGTTCTATACGTCTGTGATTAGAAAACATTTCTTTCATTCAGTTAAGGGATATAAAATGCAAACTTTCATTCAATTTTACAAAAAAGATAACAAAAATTAGATTTAATTATAAATCACGATATATTATCAAAGAAATTGCTTTTAGATTAACATTTATATAAATTAAATTATCAAATATTAAACTCATACGACTCACGTAAAACGGAATAATTTAAATTTGCATGAAGAAAATATTCTTAAAAATGCACAACAAGACATACGTTCAGTCTAGAAAAGTTTATAAATAATTATTTCTAATTACCTCATCATCAAAGAAGTTAATTTTAATTTTAATAAGTGCATGAAATTTTATTAAAATTTGCATATAAAAATCGTGTTGCATGAAGTATCTCTAATATAAGTCTCATTTAAAAATACATCTTACTGTTAAATTTTAAAGAATTTTTGATTACTATTTGCATAAAAATCGGTTCGATTTAAACTACTGACTTTTGTACCAATTATAAATTCGAAAATAAAAGTATTGTATCAATTCCGGTTCCGTTTCACTCATACCAATTATCATTTTCATTTAAGTCTCAATTAAAACAACGAACGATATTAAAGACAGTTAGAAATCTCTTAAATATTTTAATGTAATAAAGAATTTAAAAATATTTACAAAATTCGTAAATGATGAAGATGAAAATCTTTATGTAAGTTGTGCATGTGTTGGTGGAAATCAGCCAATTGTGACAAGGTAAGATTTTCATATTCCTTGAAATTTTCCTTTACAAATTTAAATTATTTTCTTACACTTAATTATTGAATTATGAATAAGGATTATAATTTAGGTTACTTTAGAACTTTTCGTAAAAGTGTTATTTTAGTCATTGCAATCATTTCGTGCTCAGTTGTTGACTTCAAGGAACCTTTACTAGGCATGTAAAACAGAGCATTTGATATGTTATAAACTCTAGAAATTTGTTCGAAAATACGTTTTTTGTGGTATATTTATATTTAAATATTTTACGATATTTGTTTTTTTTTTTTTTGGAGAATTTAGTATATCAAAAATTAATCTTCAGATGGTTAATGTAATTCAGTTTCTAAAGAAGTAAATTGTACATTTTTAAACTGAATCCTTGCTCTTTACAGAATTTCTTAAAGTAAATCTTGCAAAAAGAAAACAATGAAGGGGTTAGCTGTATTGATGATTTTTGTTGTTTTGCTGTTTTTTCTTTGGGGTAAGAAATTTTACACAATTAAAAAGTTAATTAATTTGAAGTAAATTAACAAATTTTTTTAAATATTTATTTTGTTTCTCAATTTATTTTCTGTAATTCTTAATATTTTAAGTATGTGTGTGACTATTTTTACAGAGCATTGCGTTGTACGTGACAGTAATGATGATGATGATGATGACGACGACTTAGATGACGTTGATGAAGAGGATTATGACTACGATGATGAAGTGGAAGAGAATAATCATGATGATGGTGATGAAGACGATGATAATGACAATGATGACGATAATCCAGAATGCTTTCTCATTTTGTATGATTGTAAAGGGTGTTGAAAAACAGATTATAGAAAGGTTCTTGATGGTTGAGTAAATGTTTAATGGGGACAACTGATCTTCGATGACGTGATTTTGAATAAAGCGACTTTTGATTGCAGTTCATAGAATAACGCTATAAATCCTTGTATATTAAACATTTTTATGATAAAAGTAGAGAATTTACATGTTTGGCTACTTTTTAAAACGAAAGTTTATTTTAATTTTACTATAAGAATGTATTCTGTATGCATTTTGTATGTAACTTAACTATTTTCGTAAAATTTAATAATAAAAGGTAAAATTGCATAAATAAAATAATGTGTGTATGTATATATAAATTTATCTCAGCCATTTATGTAGATTGGGTTTGTAGTCTACAACAAGACGGCAGCCATCGTTGCAGAACTTAATTTGCAGAGTTATTTTTGGCTATTAAAATAATTTCTGGTGCTTCTGTTCTAAAAATTAAGGAAGGACAGTGGGAATTTATAGGTCTACAATATTTTTCAATTGCAGCTCAATTAAATAAAATTACAAGTATGGGTGACTACGTATGGTTTTGGAGAGCACATCTGAAATGCGCTATGGCATCCGAGGGCGCCGTGTTGACGACTCCTGGCCAAAGATATTTAGTTTTTATTGAAATGCAGTCTTACAATCGAAACACGTAGAACAAATAAAAATAGATAACAATTACCTAAGAGACACTCAAAACTTTTTTTAAATCAACGATGAATAGAATTGTTAAATCTGGAAAACCTGGAGAATTGGAAAAATCAGAGAAAATAAGTAAGACATCGATTGGTTTCTGCAACTGAAAACTTATTTACAAAAATTCTACGTAAAATTATTTACTTCTAGCAATATTTAAATTTCTAGAATTTTGAATTTGCTTTCAGTTTTTAAACCAATAAAAAACTAGAATGTAACAAACTAGTGGCAATCTCAGTAGACATATAAAAATCTATAAATACCTAGACCTGCAGTTCATAAACCAAACAAATTCAGAGACTAAAACAAATAATTATTAAATATATTTTATAAATATAAAAATGTTTTTGATAAGAACAGTAGTATCTCAGTAATTTGCTGAATCTTGGAATGGTTGAGTATTCAAACTTCTCTGGTATTCACCTATTCTATGACTCGAAGGGTGGAAATTTTCGTGTTATCCTCTATTACCAGAAACAACACGTTAGAAGAAACAGATACTTAAGATAACTGGACGTAAAATGGTCGAAAAGGTGAAATAATTTTTCTTAATTTCAGCTTTTCAGCTAGAAAAATAATTATAAATATTGCAAACGGGCGGTACTTCTTGGAATTTCTGTGTATGATCATTATAGTAATCAATTTCCAAGCTTGTAACTAACATAAGCCATTTTACCTCAACTACATTATGCTTTTTTCATACGACTCACTAAGTTTATTAGAAAATTAACTGCATTGACAGATTAAAGTAATACAACAGTGCCAAACTATCAAGAGTAGATGCCTACTGGTAGCAATTTATATATTCCTAATTTAGATGTTACAGACGTGAAGATCATGACGAAAACTGCACCAAAAACCCACTTTATCAGTGGTCTGTAGTTTTATCCATTCGATCACTGGTAAGACATTGAAAATGGTAAATTTGCACTTAAATAATATAAAGGAATGAATTGTAAACAGCTTGCTTGTTCAATTCCCTTTTATTTATCTCTCTGAAATTGTAGTTTAGAGACAGGAGTGAGGAAAACACTACCGTAATAACTGAGTGTATGAAAATTTTTTAATTATGTTCGTATCTTTGGGTTTCTGTAGCGATTATAAAAGTAGGTACTGTACTTGAATTTAATATTATTATATATTATTATAAAAATGTTTCTACTTTAAAAATTCTAGCAAATAGCCTAATTTTAGAATAAGAATAGCAAATTTGTTGAGATTTATATATTATTAAAGCATTTATGTGTACAATAACTTGATACTGAAACACAATTTACTACACTATAAAATCTCGTGTAAATTTGTGTAATTCTTTTTTGTTTATACACATTGCTTTATTTTAGTTTTAAACAATGTAACGAAATAAACTATCTTATTTTTATTAAAAAAATAGACAAGTTTTCGTATAATATTTTACGTTAAAATTTTAATGATTATAACAGATATTAATAGTTATTCGTGTATATCTACTTGTCTATATAAATCGAGTGTTACGAATAATTAATCAATAATTGTAAATGGTAAAACATTCTGTAGTCTTTCATTATGCTTTATTAATTTCTACAGAAACATTGACTTTTTATATTATACTAGCTGCAAGGACCCGCTTCGCTGGGTTTATATTTGTGGGCAAAACGTAACGATAGTGAAGATTAAGATAATTACATTATAGCCAATCTTACTCGTTTTCACAAAATGCAAGAATTAGGTACCTCGTTTCCAGAGTAATTAGAGACCTGGTTCCGATTCTATTTCTGAACGTCTCCTGTTCACGTCCAGTCAAACGAACTATTTTCAACGTTTCTGGAACGTTTACAATCGTTCTATAATCGAACCAATATTCGCATTAAATTCGAACATAAAATTCGAAATAGAAAACCACTTTCAGCCCCATATCTCCCGCGCCATTATAGCTATCGAGACGCAACCATCATAGTGCACGAATGGAGACTTGGGGCTACTACCACATACAAATACCATTCATATGCGATGTGTAGTTTTGGCTGAAAAGTGAAATATAGCGACACACACGCCCATTTATATATATATATATAGATAGATAGATAGATAATTTTAGCATTCCGTTACGTGATTTTTCTAAATTTATCGTGGTAAAGTAATACGCGGAGGATTCTGCACAGTCAGCTGTTTTTTAAAAATTATTCATTTGCATAAATATACTGGTAAAGTGATAATTTTTATTAAATAGAGGTAAGTAGTTTTTATGATTTAAATTAATCAAGCTTTACAGAAGAATTTTTTAAATTTTTTACTGTTTATGGAGGAAATTTTAACTAGTCAATCACTTTGTCTTGTCTATGCTTGCTTCTACTAATGACGTCGTGTGTGTTTTGCGGAGCACGATTTTGTTCACCCTTTTGAGGCTTCATAACTCCTGTGCTTCATGTTATAAATATCTGTAGCTTTGCAGGGAGATTTGTTTATTTGAGGAATTAATGTTGTTAAATTTTGGTGGTTAAAGGTCAAGGGGATGAAGAGATCGTATGTCGTATCTCTAGAAGGATCGGATACAATGAAGATTTTACTCGTTATTTGCATTTACAATTTTTACAGATAAAAACTTATCTCTACCCTCAAAATTAATTAAGCTTGTTGACACTTTATAATAATAAAATTTTTTAAAATAAAATATCATAACAGATAGAGAACACGCATTGTTTAATGTTACTTAGAAAGTTAATTAAGTTTGAACTGTTTTGGTTGGCGATAAAGAGGGGTTTCCATTTCATTCCATCTATTTTACTTGTATATAAAATTTACATCCTGTATTTGTTTCATTACCCATTTGATCCATAGCTGTTATAACTATCCTTTTTATTTTAATCAACCCTTATAACATGTCACAGACTGGAGAATATTCAAGTACACTTTAGTGAAAAACTTAATAAATGACTGCCAATGAGACAAATAATAATATATAATATTTATTCTCAAGTAAACATTTATACGTATTGTTACACACCATTCTTTTCTGCAACATTTTCGTGATAAGTAAAATAATTGGAATGATTTTCATGGTTTGGAAGAATAAACTATGGTTATGGAAAAAAAACCTTTCTTAGTTTACTCAGTGCACAAACACAAAAAATTAAAATTTTAAAAAAATACGACAATAAATATAATTTCTATTTCAAATGCAAAATATTACCTCACAGACAATTATTAATATACAAAGTAATTCGGAAGAGTTTACTGAAGAGATATTAAAATTTTGGAAACCATTGCTGAAGAGTATGGCTCTGTTAGGATTGGTTTACAATAAAAACTGTTTCAATCCTCATACCATTACCTTCCTATATAAGCATAATACCATATGCAAGTACTGATGTTTATGTTTGCAATAAAGCTTATTTTCGTGCACCAAATGTGACGTTCTACTTTGTATTTCCAATTTTTATCGAAAACAATGGCTCGTAGAGGTATAGTTTTTGAGTTATTTTTTATGTATTCCGAGCGAGGATTCTCGCTCTGTGAAGTTTATGAGGACTTGATGGAACACCATTTATATACAATACATGTCTCTGCTCTGTTTTATAGTTTAGTCCAACAGACTAAGCAATTCCGACAGAACATAAGGGTTTCGAGAAACTGTCCAGTTAAATGGTTCTCCACTCGAATGAATTTCAACAGTTCTAGTTCTAGAAGAAAAATTAGATTTTCCAACTTTAATACATACAAAGACAGTAAAAATTAATAGCATACAGTAATTACAAAAGCAGTCGTATTAGAGTACATTAAAATTTTTTGACATAAAACTATAAAAATCTTAAAAATTTATTTGAAATATATTAACATTCTTGAATAGTTGTTATAAACTTTAAATTCCTCAATGCTTATATCTAGTAGAGCGATCGAAACTTACGTCAGCTCTATCTTTTCGACATTTCAGTAAACGTTNGGTTTATAAACTAATAAAATAAAGAAAATCAAAAATTAAATAAAACTTCTGTTTGTGAGATGTCGCGTTACATTAAAACACATCAAAATTTTTTGCATTTTATAATGATTTGAAGTCTATTCTCTTGTTTAATGATTACAATACACTTTATGCTATAGAATTGAGTGTTTCTTCACAGCAAAATTTTTTCAACAGACATAACAACGTTTACACAACATCTATAACACAAGTGTCGTGATATGAAATAAAACATTTGCATACTCTAATACTTAAAATTTTTATCTAATGTATGTGAGAAATTGTGCGTAATGATTATTTAAATCGAAAACATTTCATGTCTCTAACTGGTATGCGATAATTGTGTATGTTATTGCAACACTAAGCATTGCAAGAGGGAGCTTAGAATCGATAGAAATAATTTCCCAAGCCGAAAATTTTGGTTGTTCTTGGAAACATTTTACGGATAACTTATAAGCAAGTTTACACGAAGTTTCGTCATTGCACAAAAGGGAAAGCTTGTAGAAATAGAAAGAAAACATTTTTGCAACATTTGTAATACGTGAAGCAGAGAGACAAACATCTGTGAATAAACAAAAGGAGTAAAATGATAGGTTAATGTATTTTATTACTGTATATAATTTCTTAGTAAATAAAGGATTCGC